GCTGAAACGGAGTCTGATGATCCAGAGAAGGAGCTGGAGAAGATGCAACAGAAGGTGGGAGCACAGGCCAACAAGGTCGCCTTGCAACGCCTTACAGAAGGTGGTCGCAAGAAGTTTAACGTTGCAGGCACCGATGATCTAGACGACTGAGCGCAAGAGTATTCCGATAGGAGTTGCGCGCGCGACACCGTCATACCTTGACGCCATCCCTTGCTCCCCGGCCACACAAGCTAGGCCGCCCTTTGCCGCGGTCCGTAGGAAGTAGTAGGGGTGCTTTGACCTGCTGCACGACGCTATATCTAGAACACCGTTTTCTAAGCTTCGACAGGGTATATCGCCAGTGGATTACATCAATGGGCATGGCCACCACACGGCGTTTCAGACTACTCCAAAGGGAGTAAAGAAGCCATGAACGAGACGTTTGTCGATCATGCAGACTTGACGTAGTTTGTTGTTTGCGGATACTGACCTCTATCCTTGCTTTGAGCAGTCCGTGATGGCTCTGTTCGCCTATGGCCAATCAGGTGACTGTCGAACAGATGGCAGTTTGACTCCATGCCCTTGATCACTCTGCTAACCACGCTACATTTACCATTACAACAGCAAAGGTTTCACGAGAGATGTGATCAATGGCCAAAAGTCGAACTGGGACTCTTTGGAGGCCATGATGAAGGCACGACGCACTCCAATCTTAATCTTGTGGTACTGGACTGTCACCCCGATGACTGGCCCCTCTATCAATTTCCGGCTAGCGGAAGTCGTATTGCACCCTACGGTCGGTGCTATGGCCTACGTGCCTATCATGTAGTCCTCCTGCCTAGGGCCCGTCATCTGGACCATACTTTATCAATGCAATCATCTGCAAACCTCGCCGCATACCCAGCTACATTCTCGTCTTCGTTCACCACGCTCGTTGCTTCAACTGCTCAACATTCATTGCTTTGTACTTCAAATCTCATTCATACTTACCATCGCTGGTTTCATATTCTGAGGTTTGCATGCCATAGCCGCCATGCGGGTCCAGTCACCCCAGCCCTTGTCCAGGCTGTCGGCGGACATTCCCCTCTTGGAAGGTACTCCGGTCGATGGATCGCCACAACATCGAGACGTCCTCCAGGAGCGTTACGCTGCGCAGTCTCACAACACTCATAGCAGTACAGCTTCGCCACAAGTGGGACAAAGAAGCAGTCTCAGCCCCTCCGACAGCTCTCACGCACAGCGGAGCGTCGCCACAGGAAACTATTACACCGGCAATGTACACGCACAACACATTGGATTGGCAGGCTTCGGCGTCGAGAGGTCGGAAAAGCAGATCAGATGCGAGCTCGGGCGATTATACAAGCTGCTTCAGCGGTCAGAGAAGTACCAGACATATCGCGAAAAGCAACCAGCTCTCACACCGGCTGAAGTCGTCGCGAGAGACGCTGCAGAGAGAAAAGAGCAGGAAAAGAGAAAGGCACAGGGACTACAGCAAGAAAAGGACAAGACTGTCTGGCCTGACTTCTTAGAACAAGCCTTCTGGACGGGTAAGTCTTCATTTCCATTACACCGCATCTCGCAGTACGTCTGTCTCACTGCGTACGTTTTCCACTTCGATTCTCCCACCACCTATGATTACCCAGCTTCACGATTCCAGCCCAACATCTGACAAACATTGCACAGCACTCGTACGATGGCCGCCAATGGGTCGGAAGAAATACATGCTTGAAGGCACGCAGCGAGGGCGGAATGAGCTGATCCAGGATTCTATTTGCAGAGACACCGGTATCAGACGCGATCGCAAACAGGTTTCCAGCCATCTCCAGGTCCTGAAGGACAAGCTCAGAGGTGTTCCTGCTGGTGAGTGCCCGTCTCGTACATCGTGTAACGATCGGCATCAGCCTCTTCTCATTCGCCCATATGATCGGGGCGGCGGTCCCGCATGCGTCGATCCAGTTTCAAGTCATCAGAGCATTCCTATCTTCCAAAGTTCTTCTAGAAGGCAGTGGCGGTGGCTTCGCGGTTGCTATTCCTGGTGTGATTGGGAGGGTTCCGCTAGGGACTACCAAAATGAGACTAACCTGCGCGACAGTCCTACTCTACATGGCCACACCAGAGGACGTCTCTAAGCGCCGATCTACGAATACATCCGCCCGATCATCCTATTCGTCACAGCTGCATGGCCGCCAACATGCGCAGCGCACAGAGTCTGTTACCAAGTCCGATTCCAGTACCTCCTCGCCGCACGTTTTGCCGCATTGTAGCGGCCCACAATCCGACCTCGCCCTGGGTTCCGGCCCGGATTCTGATGCGCTGTCTTCTTCATTCGCAGTCACAGGCTTCAAGATCCTCCTTGAGGGTGATCATCAGCCCATGCACTGTTTGGCTCAATCACAATCGCATGGCAGGCTCGATAGCTCGGATGTTGTAGATCATGCCTCTTGGCGCCATCAATACCGCGAGTTTGACTTCCTCCGATCCGAGACCGAGGAATGGATAGAGAACGATCGGGAAGTGTTGGTTGGTACCGCATCTACTGCCTTGATGACAGAAGTGACGCCAGATGCCGACCTGGCCATCATCTTCGATCTTCACTCGCATTCCGATTTGTCGAGATACGACTATGTGGAATGCATGACGCGATTTTACAACAGCGGCGACAACGTAATCGACCCGCAGTTTGACCGTGCGAGGCATGACCGGGAAGAAACGCGATCCACTTGCGAATATCGGCGAGACCCCCAAGGCTCTCAAGGTGTCCTATGCGTGCAGTTTACGACGCAGCCATGGGCGAGGCATGTGAGGGAGAACCAAAATCTGATGCACAGAAGCGAGGAAAGTGTCAAAGAATCGCTTCAACACCTGGCAGCAATACAGTACACATATGGTGTTGTTGCTAACACAGGCGAGTTCCGATACCTCACTACAGTTCTTTGGAGGTTCCAGCAGATGAGTGAATCTGCAGAAGTTGGCAACATTGAGTGGCGTTCCGTGAAGTTCGCTGATCATCCGTCAGCTGCAGGAGAAAGACATTGTTATGAGGCGACATTCAAGGCTGAAGATTCGGAAGACACGGAAGATGGTCACAAGCGTACCCCAGCCATACCAACGTCTACACATACAGCTGCGACGCCTTATTACCAAACTACACAACTGCCACTGGACTTGGCACAGACACATATAAGCCACCACTCATACGAGACTGAGCCTCGCCATGCGTACTTGCAACCACCTCTCTCCGTTGATGTTCTCAGATCAATGCAACCAGATTCAGACCACCTCGACACCTCGGTGGCTACCACTACCACCGAGTTCTCTGGCGAAAGCTTTGCACTATCACGTACTTCAGGCATGGCATCGCCGAACACACAAGGCAATGACTTCAACTTCAACGGCGGGCACGTGGGTATCAGAGGCAACTTCGAATCTGGCAACCCCCAGGTATATGGAGGCTTCCTTAGCCAAAGCACTGGACACGAAGGATTGTATACGCTTGCTGGACTGGAGCACGATGAGCTCGCAACCATGGGGCTTGCTGTCGGCGAACATGGACAGCTGATTCCAGTGGATGCAAACAACGATCTGCACTATTCCACAAATGCAGCTTGCTATTCGGCCAAACCCAACTGGCAGCACGCACAACTCGTCTCGCACCTCGAGAACGCAGCAGAACAGTACCGTCCTTACCTCAGCCATGATGGCCATGCTCAGGCAGCAGCAAATCACGGTATTGTCCATGGCCACGACCCATATCAACAAGTCGGTCAAAGACAGGGTTCAGTGGCGGCTATCTTCCCCAACGTGAATCACACCTTTTGGGGTTTGCACGGGCTCCAAAGCCCATTCCAAGACGACATGGGTAGTGGTGCCGTTCATGGGACAGAACACTTGTAAGAGCAGACACACGGTCCAGACTACGGTGTGCCGGGTCTAGTTGAGAGAGACCAAAAAGGAAGAGGTTATTAGACCTCGGTCGCCCCCCTTGAGGCCGCTTACGATGAAATGACTTTATGTTGGTTACATATGTATCATGTACATTAGGATTAGGTAGAGTATCGAAAGAGTATAGAGGTCTCACGATAGCGAAATTTGATACCTATCTCGTACGACATGTCTCGGCACACTGATCGCAAAATGCTCGTGTCGTGCACGCTTAACAGCCCTTAACTTTTCCGATCCCTTTGACGCCGCGAAGATACATGAAACATGGTCGACCCACTGACGCATGCATCTGACAGACACACGCGAGCTGCTCAAAACTACACGCTAGCAACGGCAATGGCGTCAGACTCCCGGCCAGGCATTAAACGGTCGATAGGGCGTTCCTTACGCTGCACAGCCGATCAACCTGCATACTCACCCAAGATAGACAAGATATGCACATGTAAAAGCTTTGATCTTCGGGGGGAGCCCCAACAATGCTACACCCGATCCCGCATAACGATCTGTAAGGACATTGTGGCATGTACTGTAGGCGGAATCCATGGCTAAACTACGTAATTGCCAACGGCCGCGGCCACACCCGCAAGGGAAGCGGTGCGCCTCTGGTACCCTGGATGTTCAGTCCATGTGCATGTGCATGATCCCTTTGCTGCACTCAGCCACGATAACAGATGTTGTTTACCTAATGCTATCGCTACACCGCATGTGCGCACCGGCGTCATTACAGCCCAAGGTCCTGCGAAGAGCCTGAGGCGCGTCAAGTCGACAAACGCGCTGGCGCGCGGTCACGCCTGCTTGCCCGCATTGAGCGGGGCAAACAGCGAGACGCTCCACTTTCAAGCGACGATACAGCAAGCGCTCGGCACGCTACTCGTTCGCGGTTCTTTGCTATGGATACGGCGGGGGAGGATTTGAAGAGATACTTAATTGTTCCGACACTTTCTTCTTCTTGTTGTTCATTACTTCCGTCTTCAAGTCCGGCTGCTAGTAGTGAGGAAAAACAGATCTCGAAGAGGAGCGGCGCGGATACGGAATACGAGCAAACAACCTCCACCAACAACAAAGCTGAGAAGAGAAAGATGGAGGTCGATACATCCACTCCTCTGCCCAATTCCTTCGGAGGTGCGCATGCGGAACCTATGGATGCGAGTACACCACTCGAAGGCGTGATCAGCATGGACGACTTCATGATCCAGAACAAGCACACGCATGAGGCGCAGAAACACGTCAAGGAAACCAAACAATCCGCACCTCCTCCCTCGAAGAAGCCAAAAACCCCCAACGGAAAAGCCACTCCACTAGTCCCCGTAGCAGTCGGCGCCCGCTCCTCCCGGCACACCATCCTGCTCCACGAAAAATACCAAGCCCTCGGCATCCCGCAACCACTCTTCATCTACGGAGGCGGCAGTGAAACGGGCTGGACTGTTTCAGTTTCTTTCCCTGGCTTGGATGATGCGGAGGAGCTGCAGGGACTGAAGTTTGAGGAAGAGAGGAAGTTTAACAGCAAGCAAGAGGCCAAGGAGGCTATGAGTCAGAAGGCGTTGGGTGTATTAGAGGAGTTGGAGAGGGAGGGGAGGGTCAAGAAAGGTGGGAAGGGGAAGAAGAAGAAGGGGGGTATTGAGGGGGAGGGGAAGGCTGTGGAGAAGGGGAAGGAGGAGAAGGAGAAGGAGAAGGGGCCGGGGGAGAATTATGTTGGGAAGTTGCTTGGTATGTTCTTTTCTTCTCTTGTCGTCCATGTGTTACCGTAAGGCACACGTCTCCATAGTCGAGATGCATAGATATTCTCATTCAGCTAACAAACATCAGAATTCCAGCGCGCAACCGACTCCCCCCAACCCACATATACGGATTATCAATCTGGTCAACGCTTCTCCTGCATCATCACCATCGACGGCGAAGACCAACCCTTCGGTTCCATCTCCAACCTCTTCTCCTCCAAAAAGGCCGCTCGTCAAGACGCCGCCCGCCACGCCGTCGACCATTTCAAAGCCCTCGGCACCTGGCCCACGGACGACACCGCCGTCGGCGGCATCCGAAAGAGAAAGAAAGCCTCACCCATCGACCCAGACACCGTCTCAATATCACCACTACTAGACAACTCCAGTTCCCCCTCCACACCCCCCATCCAAGCAACAACACCCACCCCCGCGCCCCCAGGCACACCCTCCTACGCCTCCCGCGTCGCCACCCTCGCCGTCACCCTCGCGCTGCCGACTCCAGAATGGAACTACACGCCCCACCCCTCCGACCCTACGTTCCACAGCGTGTGCTGTTTTTTTAAAGGCGCGGGACAGCATGAGGGGCCTATCGGCGAAGTGAGGAATATCTACGGCAGGAAGAAGGCGAAGGAGGAGTGTGCAAGGTTGACGCTGGAGTATCTTACGCAGGTTAAGGAGGAGAGGTTGAGGTATGGGATGAGTGTTATGAGGGGGGTTTTGGGGAGTGAGGGGGTGGAGGGGGTTATTGAGGGGGGGTTGGGGAGGGTTGGATTGGGTGAGGGCGAGGGTGCAAGGGTGGGAGAGGGGAAAATGGTTGAGGCTACGGGTGGGAAGGTGAGGTTGGGTATGGGGCTTGATGGTGTGGATGAGGGGATGGGGGATATGGATATGGATGGGGGGGAGAGTAGTGAGGATGAGGTGTTTGCTGATGCTATGGAGGGCTAGGGGTTGATATCCACTTGGGAGGCTTTGGCTTGTATAGCAGCTTTGGGTAGTGTACAGCGGGGTTGGGTAGAGATGGTGTGGCCTGGACCATGTATACTAGTGTTCGGTACAGATGGACTTTGGGTCTGACTGTAGCATAGTCCTCTGATGAATACTCACACGACATATCAAACCCCTCGTCCTCCCCCACTTTCACCCAACACATCTACCTCACCATCTCCGCACACATATTGAAGGGGAAAGCAATCAAACACCCAAGTAAAATGACCAGTAATATTCGCGCATCTCCACGATACACATGTCTAAACTCCATTTCTACCTCCCGCAGAAGGCATGAGTAGACAGGAGACTGGTTGTACAGTTTACCCAGTCCCGCTAACATTTGAGATACACTGGATGGGAGGCTCACTAAGCCCACCTCGACACTCTTCGCGAAGAAAAAAAGCAGAATATCCATTCGCACCATTCGCCGTGATAAGCAACCCAGCGACAGCGACGACGACGACGACGACGACAGGAGAAATAAATGTACAGGTACAGAGGACCATTGCGACCGTAAAGCCCGTGGACTCAACCGCAGAATCAGAAACCAGGAAGTCGGCCGCTCTTCTAAGACGAAGCAACCTCGCTCTTCCTCTTACTCCGATCGCGCTTCTTCTCCTTACCGGCCTTATCCGCCTTCTCCTTCTCCTGCGCCGCCGCGTTCTCTTTGTCACCTTCCAGCTCCGTGTTGCGCGTGCTACGACCGGATTTGGCCTTCTTCTTCGCGGCGCCCGTCTCCTCTGGAGGAGTCGGTTCGTCGTGAGAGGAAGCTGGGGCGGGAGCGATGGGCTGAGGCGCGGATTTCTCCTTCTTCTTCTTGTCTTTCTTTGCGGGGGTTTCAGCGACGGCGGGGGCGGTTGAGGCGGAGGCTTGCGGTGCGGAGCGCGAGGTAGGCAGGGGAACGGGCGTGGACGCTGTGGCGGGCGCGATGGAGACGGGGATTGAGTTGCCGTTTACAGCGGGCGTGGTCTTCTGGCGCTTGCGTGGTGTCTTTGCGGGGGGGGAGGGGGCTTTGGCCGGCGCTTCGTCTTCGTCTTCGGAGGAGGCGTCTGTGTCTGCGGCGCCGGCTTCGACTTCAGCTTCGATTTCTGGTTCGCCTTCTTCGGACGCGTCGTCTTCTTCGATTTCGGCGTCCTTGATGCCCTTCTGCTTGACGTATTCGGCCATTTGGACTTTCCATTCTTCCATGGAGTTGCGGTAGGATGCTTTCCATTCCTGTGGTTGGGTTAGTGAGATGTCGATTGTCGGGTTTTAAGATTGTGTGCTTACCTCCTTCTCCGCGTCGGAAAGCTCAGCCCAGCGCCTGTTGACCTCGGTCTGGACGGCGGCTGGAGCGAGTGTGCCACCGGGAGCGAGCGCTGCCTCCAGATCCGCCTTGACGATGGGACGCGCGTGTTGGTGGTAGAGGAAAGCAGCAGTGAGGGGCTTCTTGGGCGCATTGGGGTCCTTTTCCTTCTTCTCGCGCTTGCGCTTCTTGCTCTTGACGCCGTCAATTGCCTTCTCAGCAGGCACGCCGACGTCTCCAGCTACGCTGTCCATGAGCTTCTGGCCACTCTCTACAACATTCGCGGCGGTCTTGATGGTACTTGTGATAGCATCGTTCTCGGTTGAGACGTCGTCTTTTTCGATGCCAAGGACTGATGCGCAGTGCTTGTTGTAGTGGTCCATGAGGACGGTGATCTGGTGTTGTACGTTGACGAGGCCATTCTGGAGGCTGTGGAGAGAGCCCAGAACCTGCGCGTAATTGTAAGCTTTTGCATTATGAAATCACCATGTATCGGGTCGCGTAGATTACGCGATCCATGTTACACAGACGTATCCATATGGCGACGTGATGGTGGCGCGATAATGCGCGCTGACCGCGTGGGTTTGCGACGCGACGACATAGGTATGCGCGCGTGTCGCAATTGCGATTGGATACTGCAAAAGGGGAATTGGGTACGTACATGGTCTCTGGTCCGATTGAATTCTGCAACAGAGATCAGCAATTCGCCGGTGGCGGGCGTCTTCTTCTTGGGGACCATGTTGGGCGGCGTGGTATGGGCAGAGGTTGAAGACGCGTTGACGGGCGGGAGGTTGAAGAGGGAGGGCGCGGGAAGGGCGGAGGAGCGCTGAAATTTCGGGGGGTCGGGGGCATAGCTCCCTTAAGTGACAGCCCAAACACAAGCGAACGTGCCCTGACTTTTGGGCAGTCACCAGCCCATTTCGGCGGGCACCAGTAAATTAATGCCCCCAAAATTCAAATCTAGGCTTACTTTTCGCGCCTGCAGCCTGTACAAAAGGCGCGTTTTCAAGATGCATCTAGATAAACTGCACGCAGAAGTTATGCGCAGTCTCTTTTAAGCGTCTACTGCCTTTCAGAAGCCATCCTCTACTATCGGCGCGCATTCTAATTTGTTGCGCAATGCATATCTCTGTTGCAGCGTGTTGTGCAACTTGGGTGGCGTAGGCCGCCTATTAGAGCGAGGGCGCCCATCCGCTGGGCAGAGTGCGCCTGGCAGGTGCCCCCAAGCCGCCCGTGATAAGGGCCTCGCTTTGGTGCTACCTCCCCATCTTTGCCCGTGTTTCAGGCGCCGTTTGGCATTGCTTGCCACCACCACGCAGCATGTCAAATTTTTTCTTTCAACGGCGGCACATGTCTTCGCACGATGCACCATGATGGTATTTCACACAATTTTGCTCTCTTCCACAGTCATATCTGATATTCTTGCTCTGTCTATTCCTTGAACCGACCACCTTCGCTGACGTCGGGGTATACGTCGAATCGCCTCTGTCCATACAGTGGCACTCCCTTCCTGGTCTCTTCGATCTTACCCGCCTCCAGTTCGCGGATGAGTACACCCTCCTTCTCGTCTAGCTGCTCTAGCACTACCGCATTGGGGTCAACGACCATGCTGTGTCCCCACGCGTTGTATTCAGCCTCCATATCTCTTGCTGGACTACACAGTCCAACGTAGACCTGGTTGTCCGTCGCCCTAGCCCTCGCCAACAACTCCCAATGTAACGCGCCGGTCGTGAGATTGAATGCGCCAGGGTATAATAGCAGGAACGCGCCCTTCCTCGCCGCGATCATAGCAAGCTCCGGGAACCTTATGTCGTAGCAGATGGCTATCGCAATCTTTCCGTATTCTGGGAGGTCGACTAGTGTGATCTTATTGCCTGGCGACAGCACCTCGCTCTCCTTGAACTTGATCTTCCCTGGGATGTCGATGTCGAACAAGTGCACCTTGCGATGAGTGGCAAGTAGCTCTCCACTGGGCGCAAATGTCAAACTTGTGTTGTACAGCTTCTTCGTATCCTTATCGTCTCTCTCCGGTATGCTTCCTCCAACCAGATATACGCCCGCCTCTTTCGCCAATTTGCTCAGTGCGTGGAACGTCTGCGATTGCGATTCCGATGGCGGGGATGGGAGGAGTGTCTCGGCGTACTTGTCGAAGTACTTTGTTCCGTAGGGCGAATTGAAGCATTCGGGCAGGACTACGAGCTTTGCGCCGGCTTTCGAGGCATCGAGCACCTTTTGGCGCGCTGAAGTGAGGTTTGCGGTCTTATCGGCGCCTGAGGCGAGTTGGATGAGCGCGAGCTTTAGCGACTTTTTGAGGAGAGACGCCATGTTTGGTGTTTGTTTGGGGAGTTGGTGGACTTCAAGAGAAATAATCCGGAGAACCTTGAAGCTCAAGTATATACAATGCGATGTTGGAGGTGTCGTTGGAGTGTTGGAGTAGAGTTGGGGTGGGGGTTAGCTCCAGATGTCCGCACGATGTCATCGCCGGACTCGCCGCCCCGATCATGGCGGGGTGTGCCTGCCGACGCGTTGGACGCGTTCCTGAACTCCTCCACCACACCACACCACACGCCGATGCCGTCTACTCCAACAACATTGCGCAAGCGCGTCACTAATTGTCACTCAAAGACACTGGAAATGAGAGATCTCGCATTCCATCATTGTTTTACACCACGCTGGTACGGAGAACACGATATCCCGTCGCTTGATACCGCTGCCTTTACCATGTCCATCTATCGTTCCTTCCCAAGTCTTCGCCCTGAATGTTCGTAGTGGAGCAGGAAAACGCACTGGTTATAAGGGTTCCGCTCGGTCAAGCCCGTTCTGTTATCTTACGCTTCATCTATAATGTATCGACGGCGACAAAATCCTTGACAGGAAAGATCCCCGGATAGACATTGGGATTTTGGTCCATCGATAAGTCCACAGACGCAGCCCTCTTGGCAATCGTAACGTATCGATAAATCTGTTTCCGTACACTCTCAGGCAAATACAACAGGTTTGGATAATACCATCGCTTTGTGGGGCTAGGCTTGCCTTTTCCCCTGCCAGGCCACAGTGGAAGGTGTTGTTGTGCGTCTCGATGACTACCATGACGGCCAAGCACAACGTACCCAGGAATACTCCAATAGTGAGACGGGTGAGACGGATGATACATGAATGGCTTAGTTAGCACAGAAAGAATCTGCCGAGAGTACTTCTTGAAGTCGTCGGTATCTGCGCGGAGGTACTCGAGTACTGTGTTGACAGTCTTGATGTCAAATAGCTGACGCTGAACGAAGTGCGGATTGTCATCTCTCTCGCCAAGACCCGCGTCAGACTGTACGAATTCGAAATCGACTTTCGCAGCCAAAGGTGACCACATTGCCTTTACGAGCGGAGCAATATTGACGTTCTCGAACCATGGATAATGCTCGAGGCAGGCACTTTCAGAGCATCCATTGGCGACATCGATCGTCACCTTTCGAACATACTGCATCTGGGACCCCGAACACCAGATCGCAGCCGATTGAATCTGCGCAAACCCTTTTGCGACCGCCTTGATCTGTGCAAATCTTTTGGTATGGCCGTCTGGTATCATGCCGAATACGAAAGTGTTGTTGCTGTACAAGACACTTGCGGCCTCGTCATAGATCTGCCGGCAGCTGCGCAGCAAATTGATACCATCGCGGATACTGGCAAACGCAGCCGTATTGACCGGTACGCATGAACTTGATTTCATGTCTTCGTCCTGGATACCCGTTTTTTGGTCCTCCGAGCAAAGGAATCGGATGTTTTCTTTAGGCTCAAAGAGATCAACGTATATCATGGTGCGTATCTCGCCTGGCAAATCGAGGATTGAGCCACCGATGTGGGGTTTGCTGGCTTTCGTCCGCGGAATTTCGATGAATCGGATCGCCATCTCGGATGCCTGGCCGCTGAGTGTGAGTTGAAAATTGTGCGAGACTGGGATTGACGGAGCTGGTACTTTAAATACTCGAGGAGAGAAAGAAAGAGCGGCAGCCTGATTGACCAAGCAGGTGCAGTGCACTGACCTGGAGGCCGTGGTTCCGTACCTTGCCAAAGCAGGAACGCTACGACTCAAGGCGCACATCGCCACTACGGATTGTGCCTGGTGCACAGACATTTAAAAGGTCTCCGTTCATTGCTTCTATATATAAACCGGCTTTTCGATCTCAAACACTTAACGCACCTTTCAGCACTCAACCTGTTCGAGTCACCACTGAACTGTAGTTGTCGACTGCATTTTCCATCCATCCTATGGTACTAGACACCTACCTATCAGAGAAGCAACATTGCAACACTGCACTACTGCTTTTATCTTCAAAACAACGATTAGCAATCGCATATGACTCATATGACGAACGCGCGATACGATAAGTTAGCACTCAACTCTCTTACTCGAGCCAACAACATGGCGCCGAACAACATGCCGAAGTCGATCGCAAAAGGCAACTCTACGAAAGCCAACCCGGATATCCTTTCCTTCCTCGATCTACCAGCCGAAATCCGAAACCAGATATATGGAATCCTCTTCACGAAAGGTGCTGTAGACAGTCAGGCGCATCAACTGCACGACTGTAATTTCAGGCGTTGGTACCCGCCGCCCGCCGCAGAGTTGGCATCTTCGACGAGTATAAGACTAAAGAATACGGACGAGGATCACGTATCCTTCGTAAAAGACGGTTGCCATATCGAAGGGATACAAAGCACACGTGCACAATTCCTCGCAGGGAAGCCATTACTCTCAACATGTCGACAGATCTATCACGAAGCGTCACCACGTTTCTGAAAAATAACACCTGGACCGTTGCATTAAAACGTTATACATCTAGATCCCAGCTTGTCACACTTTTACAAGACGCAGCGATCTTCTTGAGCGCGCTTGGTTCTCAATCCGGATTGCTAAAGAAATTGGAAATCGATATGGTGGGAACAAGTTCTCCTACGTGTCAAGACCTTCATATTTCTCGTGATATCCAGGACCCATACCTCGCTATAGCCACTAGCATTAGGTTCAAAGACTTGGTGAAAGAGCTCCACAAGCCTTCCAACAACGCTATCGACGTGGATATTGTCTTTGGCACTCCATTCAACCATCCAGGTTGCATGACAACCCCTCTAGCTACTTCCGGCCTCGACCTCTTTCGTCTGAACAACGTACTCCGGCTTCTAGTTCAGGATCCTCTCGGCTTTCTCAAATACGGCGATGCAGTACACGAAATCCTTATTGATAGGGATGGCAGAACAGGGGGTATCTTCTTTGGTCGCTCGTTCATAGACCCGACTCATAAGCAGTATTTCCGCGTTTCCGAAAACGGTGACGCAATAACTCTCATTCCTCTCTCTAAATTGGATCACATACTGAAACTGCCAGAAAATATCAGAAGCGAGATAATCAAGCACGTCACACAACGCGGAAAAACCATAACCTTCGACTTGGATAAGGGGACATGTGAGGACGGGGATCTGGTTCTGGCTTCCGTGTGTCGGAAACTTAGAGAGGAGAGCTTCATTCAACTCCAGTTAACCAACAAGTGGATGGTCAAAATGGCTTCCAAGGACAAACGTACCATCTTTGACGACTTTCGCAAACTGGAGAAATTTTGGTGCATTGGCAGATCGGCACAGTTTCCTTGGCGCGGCAGGGAAATACATACACTTCAACACTTCGACTGTTTGCTTGAAGTAGAAGCGGCGACTACTCCAGAGAATCTCCGTATCAACATCACCGACTTTCTTCGTATCACCTCTACTATAGGAAACAAGAAAGGAAATCTTACTATATCTGCGACACGCGGCCAGGACGTCGCCCCATCGAAGACCTCCACATCCTTCGAGGAACTACGCTGGTACGTCCTAATAGCTCTAACAGAGTTCATCCGCAAGTATCCAGATGCCAATCACAGGCCCTGCCCCAACATCTGGCTCAATGGTCTCGGCAAAGTTGTTGATATCGAGAGCGCAGACACGACGATGAATCCTCAAACGTACATACAAAAGTACACACCCTGGAGCACACATCGCCGTACCATCTTCCGAGAATATGGCCTTTCACTCAAAGGGCATAAGTACTGGCACGATATGGATGGCTACAACCCGCCTGCCGAGGCTTTCGACGGCTCTGCACGCTTTTATATCGGTTGGCTCCAGCGGTGTGGGTTTGGTGTGAGTCCGAGGTACTGGTCTGATGCCTGTAAGTTGTTTTGGGTTTTGTTTGTGAGGAGGGGGTATGCTGACTGCTGTATTTTTCCAGATTCCGGATGCGTAGGGTAGGTTAGGATGTCGCGGGTACAAGGTAGTAGCGCGGCAAGGGTGAATTGGAAGGTGGGGCTCACTGGTTCACAGCCTGTTTGTGGGGAAAACGAGTGCGATGGCTCTAGGCAAGCAGACTTTCACAAATAACAGGTACTCGGCTGCTGGGTGGGTCGAGGAGGCGGAGGGGAGGTGGTTTAGGTCATCTCTGGCAGCTTGGTGCGAGTGTGAAAGTTCTCAGGGCTGTTGACGGTGGCGAAGGTTGAGAGCCAAGAGAACATTCACTTTTTGTCAACGCTCGTATGTGCCCTCCTCCACTCGTATCACAGCTACGGATCGTACATGGTGCCTGATTAGGCTATCCCGTGCGTACTTCTATTCACTCTTACCAGTACTTACGCCTATTAGCTCTTGCTCGTACCGTAGTACATTCATTTACCGACGCGGCAGGCAATACTCTTTCACCAACACTATGTAGTCGGGTACTACCCCGGCCCAAGTCACAATCAAGAGAAAAGGGCTTCACTTCATGCAAGCAAGGTGAATCTATGTCAGAAGGTACGAGCGATACTGGGGCACAGACGCTGACCTTTCTTCCTTTGTTGTATATAATGACCCGTACAGCCGACTCTCATTCCCTTCAACTCACCCGAACTCAACAGCTATGGCAACACTCTTGCGAACGGAACCAATACCGGAAACTCCAGCCATTGCCGCTGTGTCTGGTGCGAAAACTCTCTTCTCTTTACCTGGAGAGATCCGGAACAAAATCTATAGCTATATTCTTCCGGCCCACAGCGAGATCGAAATACATCAGCTTGTCCGAGACCAGAGGTTTGCTTCCGCCGATACTCGTCCGATACACACCCGACACGCACATGCGCTAAAGCTGCTTATCACGTGCCGACAAGTCTACCACGAGGCCACGTCCTTATTCCTATCGAGTAACACGTGGGTTATCTCAAGGGCTTGTTATGACAAGTCGGGGTACCGAGTTACACAAGCAGACGACCTCGCAACTTGGTTGACTATGCTCGGATCTAGTGTGACCATGGTACACAAGGTTATTGTCAACTTGGCTGAAAACACCGACAATGGCGGTGACCAACTCAAATGGCGCCTAAAAATCGACTCCAGCCAGGACACAACTGATATGGCTGAGGCCGTCAAACTAGGCAATCTGCTGAAATGTCTTTGGGCAAACCCTGATGCGATCCGTAAGATCAAGATTGTTAGCCCCAAGGGAGCAGGCAAAAACTACAAGTACCGGAACAACAATGATTTTGATCCAATGTTTAGCAAGACACATCCGGAGAACAGAGGTAACAAGACACATCCAGTCTTTGACACTGGTACTATCACAAACGCGCTCATAGCTCTCCGACGCGACGATCTCGGTCTGAAGAACTGTGGACGTCAGGTGCACGATGTTCTCATCCGAAGAGATGGTCTAGAAGGGTATATCCAGTTCGACTACAACTACTATAAGCCGTCAGACAATCGTCCCCGCGTTGAGAGGACCTACGTTGAGCGGAAGTTCTCCATCACGAACGGCGGCACAACACTGTCACTTCAACCCGCCGACACTCCCGGATTGATGAACCTACCCCAGCACCTCAAGATCCGGCTTTTCGAATCGCTTTGTCTCGCTAAAGGCTTCCTTGACCCCTGGCGAAGTACAGTCACTATCGATCTGGACCAAAAGATCACAGTAGGCGCAACTCCAGTGCTGGAATCGGTATCGCAACATCTGCGATCGGAGTGCTACTACCGCTTCTGGCTGGCCAATATAATCTCAGTCAAGATGCGGAGTACAGACGTAAAAACAGACTTCGACCACTTCGACAAACTACGCGTCTTCTGCTGCACCGCGTCGACTCTGCGCGAGCCCTGGAGAATGAGCAACAGACGTAAGGGGATCCGCGACCTGGAGTTCCTACTTTAGTTCAACGTCTCGCCCGCACCCAAGCTCGATGATCTGCGTATCAACGTACTCGATTTCCTACGCGTGACGTCGTACCTCGATAGCCGCGATAGGAAAATCACGTTCCAGATCGGCGATACAAACGACAAGGCGTCTGTCTCGCTGGCCCATCTCCGCACGTGCGCCCTTATCGCCCTGACCGACTTCCAACAAACCTACAAGCGCACCCGCCCAGACACTAAGCGCTGCCCCAACATATGGGTTAACGGCTACGGGCCCATCGTGTGCGTTGAAGCACCAGGCGGCAAATCAATAAATCCATCGGAGACCATACAGCGGAATGTGTCGCGTGGAGATGGTGGTGAAGATGTGATTGTTGTTAACCGCGAGTTTCGCAAGAAATACGGTGGTACAGGAGATGGGGATTCTGCGACACGCCCAGGCCGGTCTTTCGATGGTACGTTGGGGTGTTATTTGGGGTATTTGCAAAGTGTGGTGGTGGGGGATGAGGACGCGGCGTATTGGGCGGGGAGATGTAAGTTCTTTGTTTGTTCTGGTTGTGAAGAGAGAGGCTAACTGATGTGTTTAGATTTTGTTTGCAGTGGATGATGTTTGAATGGGAAGCTTCCGTCGGCGGGTCGAATACTATGCTTCCGCCATCGAACGCACTAGCGCGACAGCGGAAGCGCGTTGATGAAATGTGGCACCTATCACGAGACTTCTATCACGGCTTTTTCGGCATCGTTCTTAGTTTTATCTAGCAGGGTTTGCATGATCTACGATATTAGCTTTGCGTGGCAAAGAGCTAAATAATGGCGATTCGCAAATTTCAATCACATCATCCAAGTGTCATTGAAATCGGTGATTCACGGAAGCCTTCTTCAATTGACATGTTTGAGAGGGCCTTTTCAAACACCGTCTCTTTGGCCTCGAGCGACTGCGTATTGAAGTATCAAACACACCGAATTCACGTAATGTGCTGAACACTCCTGTCTATATAGAGTGTTAGCATCGCCGTCACTCTCTCTTTTCCCGTGAACAAATCCACAAGATCTGAGCCTCTTCGACCACTCAACCACTGACTGCAGCTCTCCGAATCAACCGACCCCTCTGCAGCCATGGAGCCCGATGAGAGTAGATTTGATAACCTCCGCGTATACTTCGATGAGTTGCCCTATTACCCAGCTATTGCTGAAGGCGGATCTAAGCCTCGCGACCCGACGGCGCCCTCATTCCTCACTACATTTCCCGCTGAAATTCGTAATGCCATCTACGACGCCCTATTCCACGTCTATGGCGGTATCCGGCTATCCCCCTCGGAGAAGTTTATCACGCGATCCACGTTCGAAGACCAAGACGTACGCGCGACTCTGTTGGCGTGCCTTCCTCTCTTGTCCACATGTCGACAGATTTACCAAGAAGCCGCTACAACTCTCTACTCCAACAACATTTGGATCGCGTCTAGGGATATATATCAGACGGACGATAAAAGCGGCAGCGTTCTACACGGAACAATGACAGAAGCTACAGGCGCGGTGGTGTTACTCACAGATCTTGGCTCCCGTCGAGTGATGGTCAAGAAGATCCTCCTCGACGTGGACAGGGCATGCCCTATTCCGTGCGAGACTCATGGTGTTGACCCGTTTTGGCTTGCACCGCACCTTGGACCCGATCATGCAGTCGAGATGTGGACCCTCGTGAGAGCAATGGCGCTATTGCCGCATCTTACAGTCGAGTTTGTGCATCCGAAGCGTCAAGCATACTATGACTTCCACCCTCCCAACGGAGCTTCTGGAACTGGACTCGGCGTTGACATCGACGGTCTCAATACCGCTCTCCAAACGTTGCGGAAAGATGCTATAAATATCGGAAGATACGGGCAGCAAATCAGCGAGGTCTACATTCACCGAGATTGCTCTTCAGGCATTGTCGTGTTTCAGTCGTCCAGACGCGTTGAAATGTGCGATCGTGCTCAACTACGGTTCAATATATCCGATAAGGGTGCAACGTTTGCTTGGGCAAATCTTGAGCGAGAGCCGCATCATCTTTTTGGTCTACCAGAACACATTCAGCGACAGATCGTAAATGAGGCTAGCTCTGTTGGCCGTTCTGACTCCTATGGGAGCGATTCGACGATTGTTTGGGATGTCGATAGGAAGATATCGACCGGAGTCAATCTAATCTGTGGCGCAATATGCAACAAGTTGCGGTATGACTTTATGACCATGCTCAGATGCTACAGGCGGAACATCATCAAAATGTCCACTAGTAAACTTCGCTCGGATTTTGACGAGTTCAGAACCCTCCAGGAGTCCTGGAGCGAGGATAGCTACTTCAATTCTCCTTTGGGTAGACCCTCTGATCCTTACCCAGTAAGCCTTCTTCTGGAATTCCATGTACACCCTGACGTTACTATGGAAGATACCAAGTTAAACATCACCAAACTATTACAACTTACGGCAGAGTGCAGAGGTCGCATGGAGATCACGATTTCCATCAATAGAGGGGAAGCCTTCCCCAGCTCCGAGACCACCACGAACCTGTATATGTGCCGGGACCTAGCTCTCTCCGCACTATCAGATGCAGGTCCGGGCAAGTGGATGGTGTGCGAAGGGTTCTCTCAGGATAATCATCATCCACCAATATGGATGAATGGCCGCTTTGAAGTTGTCGAAGTCGATCTGACAGATGGTAAGTTCCACTCATGAACAGCTTTTGTGTTATACTAAATTGTTCCACCAGGTTGAAAGACGCGATGGCGTTTTGCGAATGGAGATCGCTTCCAGGGTGACGTCTAGAGTGGCTTGTGTAATTTTAGGGCTCCACGGAGGGGAAATGACAAGTGCGTTGCAGGACGAACGCGGCAATCGCAAGAAGCGATAGTGGAAGCGGGATGTAAGGTATGAATCAACAGGATGACGAAGTTGAAGAATTCAAATAATGTATTTCAAGTTCGGTGCATTGGCACATCTCAAGCTGTGTCATCGTGAGACTTGTTTGGGACTATATCCTCCGTGACGCGAACCTCGTGGCTGCCCTCCAGTTCCGATAGCACGATCCAGGTAGGGAAGACGCACAGCACCGTGATGCCAAAATTGATACCGATACTGACGAAGTGATTCGCACCACCTTCCGATTGCATACTGTTGCGTTTGTTAGTTGATGATATGCAAATTTCGTTCAAAAAGGGAAGACTTACGCCCAGGCAACGGTTTGTCCCAAAGCCTCTACACCACGAAGAATACCAGTAAGATGGCTCAAGTTGGAAAGATCAGTCGCATACTGGCCTACTAGCCAGTAAAGGAATTGCTGGAAGGCCTGGCCGCCGAACTGCCAGAAGAAGACAAGCGCGTAGCTCTTTCCGAATCCACCCTGGAACCAATCGAAGACCGGGGATTCCGATGCGTCGTAGTTCTGTTTCTGTAGTATCGTTGCCCAGATCCACGTGCCGACGAGGATGGTGATGATGGTGCAGAATGCAATGCGACCGCGCTTCTTGATGTGGATCTTCTGGTTATCGAGTAGAAAGGCGATGATGAACGAGGAGAAGATACCGGCAAAGTTGGTGAAGAAGGAGGAGAACGCGCGAGCTCGGACGGTGAAGTATGTCGTCAACCACGTGCTCATGAAGCCGTTGTAGAAGTAGCTGATGAAGAAAGCTGGCAGCAAAAGGAGAATACGGCGACTGACGAACAGCTTGCCGACGGCCTTGAACTCGGCACCCCAGGTCGCGGCGCGCTCAGTGACGATCCGCGTGCCATCCTTTCGCCAGACCTTGTGCGCTGGCGACAAGCACAGGGCTACCGGAAGACCAAGGCACATGATGACAATGAACACGATGTAGGTCGTTGATGAAACCGATCCGGTAGTTTTGCGGTTCGCGTTCAGTCCCAGGTTGATAGATCCTCCAACAATCGGTCCAAGTGCCTTCGCGGTCTGCCAGATGGCAAGGTAGAAAGCGCGATCTCCAGGTGATGGGTATCCAATAATGATAGCAGCCTCGGCAGCCCAGAAGAAACCAGCGGAGATACCACAAAGCGCGCTGCCAAACAGCATGAACCATGTGTTTGCAGAGATATTGTTGGTGTAGAGACCGGCGCCATACAGAGGGTACCCGATAGCACCCAATGCAAGACCATACGTCAATCCGATACGGTTGTTGATAGCTCCGGCAGCAACACAGACCACAGCGAAGAGTCCGTATACGAGAGCGTTGGCGGCAGAGACGGCGTACGGTTCAGCGGCACCTCCAGCCCCTAACCCACCAAGCGCATCCCACATTCCCGGAGCCGTGAACGAGACACCACATGCGACCAGGATCTGGAAAGGTACCGAGCGGAAGAAGGGTCCAGAACCCTTGATGGAGCCCGAAGGCTCAGACAAGGAGGCGGACGACATGACGATGCGGAGAAGAAAAGATGGAGAGAAGAGATGTCGGGATGAGGTGAAGAACCTCAGTCAAACGTGGAGACTACATATCTTAAGAGTTCGGACGACACCGCGATGCTTGGCGAGCTTGGTATCCAGTTTTTCTCCCTTAGTGATGGACGTTGAGGCAATCACCGCAATCGAGACGTTTGGTGTTTTCTATGGGGCGAGCACGACATCTGCGCTAAATGACTCGCGCGTGGCGGCCTGCGACCCAAGCGTCCACGGGTCGGACCCTTTGGGTTATGACTTCACTCGAGTTTTCCTGTGGCTTGCCAAGTATGGTGCGGTTTCCGTCGGTTTGGTGGACATCTTCCGCGAAAGGTTGCATTGGATGCGCCATTTCGACATGAGATGCGGAAAGCACGTTATGTTGGGGTTGCCTGAAGGCGACAGAGGATCTGACACCCGCGGACGGCGAAACGGGGAGAACAAGGACCAAGACAACATGTCGGGCGCCCTGCCTTCTAAAGTCTACAACTGCCCATCGATTACGCACACCGTTGCTGATACTCAACTCTCTCCAGTCCTTGCAGCCGGAACGTCTCTTCACCGCTCTAAAACTGCTCCTCGACGGAGAATAGATGATTTCTTTGCACATGGACCGTTGTTGTGTTCCCAGCGACTAGACTTCCCTTCCTATTCCATGTTGTTGCGTCAATCTTCACCTTTGTTCTGGCAGCATTTGAAAGTATTTCCCAAGCACTGAGAAGAGAAGGAAGTCAAGGTCAGGGAACAATCGTGCCAAAAGTAACCAGCGTAGATTTTTCGTAACCATTAGACTAATCGTATATGATCGTACTTCGCACTTCCAACCTTCCTCAAATTCGACCTCAAACGCGAGCGGCGACGAAAGCGGCAGCAGTAGGAGCATCGATTTCGTAGTTCCTGTGCTCAGGGGTGATGATGATGCCGTTGTCGCAGATGTTGTCACCAGCATGGCAGATGATGAGAACCTTGCTAGCAGCAACAGAGCCGAAAGACTCGTCACGGTCAGCATCGCCGAATGTTACAACGGCGGTGACACGCGAGGCGGCGGAGGCTGATAGCCTCTGTGTAGCAGTGTGCACGAGCTGTGCGCCCTGGGAGTATCCGGAGACAACGATCTTGGTTGAGGGGCAACGTGTAATAGCCTAGGTGCACAGTCAGCATCGTACTGATATATCAATAGTCATGATGGCACTCACTTGGTTGATCAAGTTGAACATAGTGGTGGCACCCGCGGCGTCGCCTCCAGCCAAGAAGCCAATGACGTTAGCCGGGTAGGTAACGCCTTGGATGGCCAAGTTGCTAGCTCCTCCGACACGCGCAGCCAGAGCATTGAAGAAGGTTGGGCCTTCGGAGTTGGCCTCGCCTACGTTACCAGCTAGAAAGGGCATCAGTATACAACCTTCCTACAATCAGTAGAGAGATCTTACCTTGGGTAGTACCACGAGCGTAGATGACAGTTACGCGACGGCAGGCGGTACCGTCAGTCAGTTGGTTGTAAGTGTCGCCGCTGAACTGGCGCTTGGTAAGGTCACGTGTTTCAACGTCCTGATTCTCAAGCTGTGCCGCGTACTCCTCGACAGTAAGGTCCTTGTCGAGGAGATCAGTGATGGGGAAGCTCACCCCGCTCGCAGGCGTTGGCGCAGCGAGGGCAGTGGTGAGGATAGCCGCAAGGGCAAGAAGGGAGCGAGCGCAAGTCTTCATGTTGAGCGATTGTCGAGAGCGGCCGAGTTGAAACGAAGGAAGTCTGAAGAGGCTGGTAGCGATGATCCACTAAGAGTGGGTGGAATGTTTGACCTTTTGTATCCTGAGCCATCGTTCTACCGAAGCATAGCGAGTGTGGCCATGACCACTTCAGTACCATCTCCTGCGCTACTGCATCGTCTCTTGCAAGCACGTTGGCAAGCCATGTCATCAGACCTTACCTACATGCCTATTTCTACCAGTTCAATTTCCTCCTCCGCTTCGTTAAGCTGGACTGTTCTTGTTTACCGCCGTCGACACCCAATGACTACACCTGATCCGTTCACGTTGACCAGTGATTGTCTAGTTCCTGTGCGACGCTTTAAATGACATGCATTGTGATGCATCGGGCCTTTATTGTGTACTCCTAGTTTGGCCTCTCCCTCCGTGTTTGGTGTTGCTGCCGGTCTTGTTACCTTCTTCTTCGGCCTTAGCCCATTTATGAACCCCAGGTACCACCGGATATCTCGAAACACGTGGGGTAGACATGGGGTTTCCAGGACGAATAGAGAACATGTACACAGTCAATGCTGCGCAACGTGAGGACCATCGACGATACGATTCGTGCAGCCGAGGCATGTCAAGCATGTTGCGGCGCTACGAGGCGTCGATCAGTGAGAAATCTTCGATGCAGCGCCGGGAAGCAGCCGCTGCTGCATGTTTTGGGTGTATAATCATAAATTCTGCTGACAGATACTTGTGCTTTTGGAATGTCACTGTCTTCGAGCCGCATTGTCGCAATTTGGTGGCTTCTCCAGTCAATGCGATGATGTATGATGTCACGCCAAGCTTTAGCGCCATTTTTGGTATCCTGTCCAGGTGTCGTCCCTTTGATTCCGACTGACCAAGCCGATGTGCTCACCAGACTTCCATCACGACATTTGTAGCGATTTTGAAAATGCTGCACAATCGATGCAGACGTGATGTTCCCAAAGCGGGACACAGACTGCATGATCAAGGCCCCTGGCTCCCGGCCACTTCGGATGGTAACCAACACCAGCACTACCAGCACAACCAGCGCGACCGGAGTACCAGCCAACAGAGAATGGAAGACGTCGCGATGCCGCAGTCGCTTGACTAATAGTCTTTCTTTCCGGAAGACGACCGTTGTTATCGCACATCATCGCAAACGTTCGGAAGCTCAATGGAGAACCCCGCACACGGTACCCGTTGCCAAGCTGAGCATGCAGCAAAGCTGTTGAAATCTTCCCTAATTCTCCTTCTGGCGTCTTGGTAGCATTACGAGCTGCCACTTACGATACAGATCGGCGCTCGCGAAAGCCATGATAGCAAGAGTTGCATTTCTCCGATGACGGCAGTCACTGCGGTATCGCGAGATGTTGGAGATACCGGCAGTCGACAGCCTGTCGCGAAGAGTGGGATGGCGAAAATGGTGGAGTATAAAATGTAGGAATAGAATATTTGGGTAAGATCTCTTGTATCGTCCAAGCCAATTGTCTAGATCGATCAAGATGCGGTCCACATCCATCCTAGCAGTCTGCGCGGCAACACTGCTGCAGACAGCTTTCTCGTCACCCATTCACGCACATCATCCTCACCAATCATTCCCGAGTGCGGAACAATGGCCACTACCCGTCGTTGGAAAGGCGCTAGAGCAACAGATGCCGGATGAAGACCTTCAGGACATCATTTCGCAAATATCGCGCGACAACATCGAGGCTACGATCCGGAAGCTGGCATCATTCGGCACGCGTCACACCCTGTCAAGTCAAACTGATCCCAACCGAGGCATCGGCGCTGCGAGAACATGGCTCACGGCTAAATTCCAAGAAGCGGCAGATGAGAGCGAGGGAAGGATGACTGTAGACTGGAACAGCTTCATCAAATACCCCGGAGACAACGAGCGCATCATCTTCCCAGTAAACATCACGACCGTCGTCGCAACACTCAAAGGCAGCGACGACCCAGATCGCGTCTACGTAACAGGCGGGCATTATGACTCGCGCAACAGCGACCCCGTCGACTACCAAGGCGACGCACCCGGTGCCGTAGACGACGCCTCAGGCGTCGCAGTCTCCCTAGAACTCGCCCGTATCTTCGCACACTACAAGCCCAAGACAACCATCGTCTTCACAGCCTTCGCCGGCGAAGAACAAGGTCTCCTCGGCGCCGAGAACCTAGCCCAAACATACAAGAATGCATCAGTAAATGTAGCAGGCATGATAAACCTCGACATGGTCGGCAACTCCAAAGCCTCTGACGGCACTATCGATCCCTACAACATCCGACTTTTCTGCCAGGGCACGCCTCTGACTGAGAACTCCACGAAGATGACATCGCGTCTCAGTATCGGCGGCGACAACGACAGTCCCGCTCGCAACCTCGGTCGCTTCATCTACGAAGTCGCATCGAATGCCTTCACGGAAATGACAGTACGCCTCATCTACCGCCTAGACAGATACAGCCGAGGCGGCGACCACCGCCCCTTCCTCGAAGCAGGCTACACAGGCGTTCGCTTCGTCCAGCCCAACGAAGACTACACACAACAGCACCAAAACGTTACCGTACGAAACGGAAAGCAATACGGTGACCTGGTCGAATGGCTAGACTTTGAGTACAACACGCGCGCCGCCAAAGTCGTTGCGTCCACTATGTGGAGTCTCGCCAACGCACCGGGTGAGCCAACGAATGTCGGCATCAACACTACGACGTCCGACAACTTCAGCCAGTTCAAGTGGGATGCGCCGAAGGGGCTGCCCGTTGAGGGGTACGAGATTCTGTATCGTGACACTATTGAACCGCATTGGACGAATGTGATTGAGGTGGGGAATGTGAATTGGTTTAACCTCACTTCTGCGACAATTCATAAGGATAACGTTATCTTTGGGGTGAGGAGCGTGGGGAAGGGTGGATATAAGAGTCCGGCTGTTCTTCCGTTTCCCTTCGGGTGCTCGCGGAACTGTTAGTAGGGATGGGAAAGTTCATGTGGTTGTTGAAATCAAGATTACCATGTACTTTTAAAGAGAGTCATCGCTTTAGTCTTGTTCAGATCGGCCACGTGCATCTCCACATCGACTGCTGCACAAACGATATGTCTTGCTGGTGATCCGAAAAGCCTCTCATTCCTTGCAGATCCCACTCGCAGACGTCAATACTATATGCTAGCCGTGAGCTCCAACTAGAGCACAGCGTTGACTCGTTGCTGTCCGATGTCTCCAGGTTTTGCTGTCCACTTTTGGCTGTTCCTGCTACTCGCATCGGCTGTCTTCAGGTAGTTCTCAGGTCCACCCATCTGCTTCCTTCCATGTGACATTCTCTGCGGCGTTAACCCTCCATAGACACGATCACCTTTTATAAACCATCCCAAGATTGTACCGCAACCGTTGATCCTGATTTGTGGAAGAGGCTGATGGGTTTTCGAAGGATACTGCTCCGATACATCTGATAGCAAGAGGAATACTGCTGTCTGAATATGCTGCCACCTGACGGACTGGGTGTCTTTCATGCTGCTATCAGGACCTTGAACAGTAATGACAAGACTTCCATGGTCGCTATTGAATGCAAGCAGAAGCTTGTTGATGTTTATACGAAGGTCCGCGGTGGGTTCTGGTATAGAGAGCTTGAACATCAGAATCATGTTGATGAAACAATCCTTCTCTCTGCGATTGTTGACCAGACTGTCAAAGTTGCCAACCTCTAGCAGCTTTCGTAGTGCCTTGAAATTGTTGAAGTCGGTCCTAGCTTCCTGAGTAGACATGCGGACGACAATCTCGTCGTATACTCGCGTATGCATGTGGTCGATGTCGCCCCGCAGCAAGGAATTGACTCCGCTGAGGCCTATGCGGTAGCCCCGGGCTTTGTTGGTGTCCAGGTCGAATGTAACGTTTGTGTCGGATGCGCGTACGTACGTTTGATGGCCGATAGGAATTCATAAGTCAGGGACAGAAGGCTCAACTGTTCAGATTCTTTCCATTGAATCTTGGAACCATGGTCCGAAATGTCAAAACATCTTCCCGGATGCGGGAAGGAATGTGGTATAGTCGAATCTTTGTATTCGACGTATCCAAAACGGTCGTCCTCATGGTGCCAGATCATTATTGATGAGATCAGGCCAGAGTATTTAGCATACTGCCTGAGATTGAGAACGTCTGCCGTGCCTAGTTCGACGAGGGCACGGTTCATAAGATCCGCAGCGGTAATTGGGTCGTGATATCCAGCGCCGTTGTTTCGTTCTTGGGACAACGAACTCCCGGACACGAAGGCAAATTCGCATTTGGCCTGAGCATGGTTCCAGATAAGTTTCAACAGCGGTAGCAGCTCGAAGGCTCCAGAGCTAATTTCAAGTCCATCTGTGTCGATGGACACGCGGGACAATAGCTCATAGTTTGATCCGATGCTTACCAACCATTTGCAGGTAGAGTTCGCCTGTTGGCTTGGGCAAAGGGAGACCATGAAATGGTTTTGGCCGTAAAGAATGCCGACTGCTTCATGATAGACCTGCCTGCATGATAGCAGAAGTCCCACGCAACCACTCAAGCCATGACGAAAGCCCTTTTCCACGACCCGTTGCCCACAGTCTATGGAATACTCATGTCGGAATCTCTCTAGGAACACATGGCCATCTCGGGGGAGAACAGGTTCGTCGCTTTTGAAGACGTACTCGTAGATTCGGTTGCGAATCTCAGGCGGAAGAGTAGTGAGAAAGCTGCGCGCACTCGGGTCGGCGGTGGCGGACTTTGTTTTGGGGATCTCGATGACGGTAGGAGTCGCCATCTTGGGTAGGCCGTCGAGAAGGCGCGGCAGGTCGAGATGCCGTCGCAGGCAATTGATGTTGGGAGAAGAGTGTAGAAGCAGGTTGGCGCTGGGTGGTACTGCAGTTTTAGGCAAACAGCGGTCCAAGCGCGGAGCTAGCGCGAGGTGAGAGTCAACCTTGGAAAGTGAAGGTGAGAGCGACCTCAAGCCGCGCCTGCCGCATCAAACGTCTTCGAGTGAGAGAATCACTCATGCTTATGCTTGAGCTTAAGTAAGCCATCGTCATTCTCAGCGAAAGACGCCTTCGCCTGTCCCAGAGCTCGTTTCAGGTCACTATTCCTCTCCTTCGCTACGGTAAGCAGCTCAGGACAATCCGCCGCATCCCAGCCTTCCAAACCATGAACGAGGACAGCCAGTGTTGAGTTCTTGAAGAGGTAGGATCGTCTTCTGCTACCCAGCGCCGTCAGAGAGAGGAACAGAGCGGAGTACACGAGGAGCGCCAGCGGATACGCAAGTCAAGCCCATCTCACATCAACAAAGATATCCGGTCCGTAAGCTTCACTGGTGTTATTGATAGCTGCGAAGTTGCCGAGACCTTGTATGACTTTGCTTCCTACTTGCGCAAGACCTCGGAAGAAGTCAGGCCATGTGTGGTGCATAAAGTATGTCAAGAGGTATGTACTCAGTGTGGTAGATTTGAGGATCCTTGACGTGGAAGAGCCGAGCCAGAGGGTCGAATGATTGCCGATGTAGAATGTCTCGTTCAGGCCTTCGGCGCGAAATGCTTGGTCATATCCAGATCCTGCTTTGTACGGGTCGTCGCCAGTCGGGTGCAGTGGCCATTCCTCCAATGAGTCATAACTTACGACCGTATTTCGTATCGTGGTACCGGAGTATCGCTTCGCACAATAGCTCACTTTGCAGTGAGATATTGTTCCGTTTACCAATCCGAGTCGATCGATTTCGGCGACACGCGTGATGTCAGACGTTGACTTGAAGCAAGTGAATGCAGAAACAGCTGGTAGTGGTAGCTTGTAAGGGTCGAGTATGACATTATCCTGGTAACGTTCATAGTCTCCGATGCAAAACTCTATTTGAGGAGTAGAGTTCGATGGGTTCCATACTGGATCGCTATTCAACGCAGTGTAGAGGCGGAGCGACCTGTACAGAAGATCCCGTTCCAAACGAATGATACCCAGTCGATATCCATTGGAGAACCGTAGATCTGAGTTGGTTATGCCCACTTTGGGCCATGCTTCGCCACCTAAGTAATCCGTGATAATCCGCATATCCAATTCCGGGTACTCCGGCTTCCTGATGATGCATTTCCTCTCCCACCGGACTGGCTCCCCGGCTGCAACGTGATCTTTCATCCCAGTATAATTCCAGCGGAATTCTGTTTCTGTGTTGCCTAATTGTGCGGTATTGATACATCCTTGGTACTCATCCTCATGTTGAGCAGCGCCGTTCCAGAAGTTGCCATCGAGAGACGCGTCTTGGGAGGTGCATGAATCGCAAAGACCCAGAGAGATAAATTGATCGAGTTGGCATTCTGCTGTCGGGCAGTATACATTGCTTAGTAAGTTGATGTCCTGCAAAGAGACATGCTCTATGAATCCAAGAGTCAGAGGATACTCCATGCCTATAAAGTAGTTAGTGAAGCACAACTTGTCGTCTGCCCAGGTGTACAACTGACATACCAGCCAGATCAGCATTCTCTGTACTCCACACATCTGAGAATTCTTTGCTCGAGCTTACAATCCCAGTAGTATTGGCTAGCAGAGCGGGTTTGGAGTAGATCCTGAGAACCTGCTGTGTGAATGGCTCAAAACCAAGCGAAAAGATTGTCAATGCTGCCCCAAAGGATGCCAATGCGGCGGACTTTCTCAAGCGCAGCTGGAAAATAAAGGTCAAGGCCCCCCATGGCCCTCGAGTGGCCACGTCAAAATCATCAAGACGATTGACAGGCTTTGGCTGGGGGGTTTGGAAGTATATCCATTTTAGTTGTCCAATGCATTCGGATAATGGGACCAGAAGTGCCGACTTAGCAATAGTAGAAAACACGGCTATCAAAGAATTTGGTTGGATGGGAAGTCTCCAGTCTCTCATGGGCCTGCCATCCATGGTAAAGAGAATAGCCAGGATCAGTGCCATGCACACGGTGCTCAGTAACAAGGCCGCCACTTCCCACCACCAGCCCATGGAACGCGAACGTTGTGCTGGAAACGGCTTGATTGGAGGCGACGTAGAGCCTTGTTGAGGTTGAAACGTTGACATGGGATTTGGGCTGTTGACTGTGGAAGGCGACCCTGTTCTTGATGAAATTGGGGAGATAGATGGGCGTGAGGGAGGCTGGCTTGAAAGAGACACCAACTCAGTCATTGCGAAGCTATCAAAGGATAGTCGGCCATCCGTCACCAACGGGTCGGATGATGTGGGCCCTTGGGTGCCAGACATGTCTGTTGCGTATATTGGAGAGAGAAAGGCAGGAGAGCCGACAGAGGCTGATACATCGAGGCTCTGAATCCTGAGTTGCAAGGCAGGTCGCGCCTTATAATCCGTTATCGTTACACGGTAGGATGCGCCACCATTGCGGCGAGGTCAGCCTTAGGCTGACCATCTACCACAGTACCGCCGCCTGTTTTCAGCCCCCAAAATATGATGTGGAGGCCAAAAACCACTCTCATGGTGTCGCACTCGCATATTCCGCCCCAATCTCATGCAAGACCCCCGATGCAGTACGAGTACCTTCGGGTTGTACAAGAATGCGTTGAGATAAGCCGAGCTGGATGTACAACACAAGCCCCTTCTTCAATCCAGCAGCGACTAGCTTACCGAGACCAACGAAGAGGGTTCCAAAAATTCCTGGAAGGCCCAGAAGGCCCACCAGAGCAGTCAATGTATGTAATTTTAAACCAGCAATATTGCTACCTCAGACGAATCTTCACTGGTAGGCAAAACACCCCTGCACTTGGATGAGGAAGGAAGGAAGAGGCTGAGAGTTTGGCGGATTATATAGGCGGAGGGATCGCAGGCAGCAGTCTGTCACGGGTGCGGATGAGGCGTGGTTGGGACCCGTAGGGCTGCAGGCAGCTGTTCGTCACGGGTTCAGATGAAAACTTAGAAACGATGGGTGTGGTGGATCGAAGGATAGATGGAATGAGGCAGCCACGGCGCACGCGGACTCGATGTGTCAGCAGCAACCACGTGATCCAAGTGGCTGCCCAATCGGCTCCAGATACAATCGAGGCGGAACGGCAGGGGTCCGATTCTCGGCATATCATCTCGCCCACAATCCCTCCATGGTACACCCTCAAACAACAAAAAGTAAATACCACATCTTCACCACCCCTGCATAGCAAATGCGCTTCCGTAGCGCACTGGAAGAAAGTCGTCGCCGGCAAGAGCGCGACGACGGAAATGCTAGCAAGTCGCACAGGCTTGGCCTGCATAGCAAGGGCCAAGTTGGAGTAACCCTGCAGTAGGCATGGCAGTGGAACAGAGAGCTGGACCAGTCGTTCCTCGTGCATGCTTCGTCCCGCGGCATCCATGTCGAATACTCGGGCCCGGATAATCGGCGGGCGGGCGGACCTATTGGTCTCTCATGCGCTGGGTTACAACTCACCCGCCGTCGCAGGTGGGATTACACCAGGCATGCTTTGACAGCGAAGAGGCCGGCGATTCTCGTGTGTACCGTCGGCGAGGCTTGACAGGTGCAGCGACGCTTCTGCTTAGCAGGTGTGCTAGGTGGCGAGCAGAATGTTCAATAGGGTGGCCGAGGTCAGTCTGGTGAAAGAGCAAAAACTGGGGATCGTCGGTGTGAGCCTTCGCATAGCGGCCTTCAGGGTCTGGTCCCTGTTGCGACATCTGTGGCCAACTGTGAGGATCCAGAATAATAGCGAGCCATAATCGTGCATGTGCTGGCGGTGAGGGCAGAGAGCCTTGACGCGAGTACATAGAGTGCATGTCTTATACCCGCCTGGTCCCCTTTGATCCCATCTTGCTCGCTCTTCCCCTGCTCCTCGCCGGCCTCGACTTTCAGACTTCTCTAGCTTGTGTTGTGTGGTGACGGCTAGCTGCACCGTTTTCCCACGTCGTCGCCGTGCCGCATTCTCGTCGCAAAACGCCGTCGACCCTTCCCGACCAATCTCGCAGCAAAAGCCGGGGTCTCCCCTCTGGCCCGCAAGATCTGCAGGATAGCGCAAAAGACATAGGATTCGAGCGATTCCCTCTGTGCATTCAGGGATTTTGCAAATTACCATCCACGGGACTTTCGGAACCTCCACGCGCAAGACAGCAGAGTCAGCTGTCAGGTACCCGGTGTGCACCATTCCGACGAGCGTCAGATAGCTAGTGGGAGAGCTAGGCGGCGTCAGAACGTGGGAACCTTGGAAACAGCGGTCACGCCCGAGGTCAGCACACACACCTGGCCGGCCCCTTAGTAAGGAGGAAGTTAGAGAAGGTGCGGGTGAGGCGGTCACATTCTGCGACAACCCACTTTCCGCCTTGTCCTTTCACACTCGAGCACCCAAACGCGCAATCCGCGAGCGACGGCGACACCTCATCTATCCACGCTTCCCTCTCGCACGGCGGCACACTTCCTACCAACAAACTTCGCCTTAACACACCCGCAGCCATGCACCGCAAAAACCCCATCAGCGTGCTCGTCTACAACACGCTCTTCCCCACACCCTCGCCCACAGACCCTCCCTCCTTCAGCGCGCACCTCTCCAAAAACCTCGTCGGCGAAGTGCGCATCGAAACAGCAAACTTCTACGGCTCGCTCGACACAATCGAAGCGCGGTACCCAGGCCTAAACTACGCCTTTCAACCACACCGAAAACGCCTCGGCCGCTTCCCACACCACAAGCGACTCTTTGACGCATTCGACCGGCTCGGGCTAACCGAAGCCGAAATCCAAGGCTTCTGCAGATGGGAAGGCACACTCTGGGCACGAGAGCGCTATGAGCGAGACGAGGGCGTACGCGTAGTCGATACGACAGGCGTAGACATAGGGGAATGGGTCGACACACGCCGAGCCTACTCGTCACGCCACAACAACGGCGCAGGCATCAACGTCAAGACGGACATTGAAGTCGAAATCGAAGAACTAGAACACCACAACCACCTCCTGCACAACCCGCTCACCCGGCAAAACGTGCAACCGCCCAGCCACCACCACCACAACGGCGGCGACACAGAAATGCCCGACTCCTCCTCCTCAGCCGAAGACGACGACGACGACGAAGACGGCGCAGCAGAAGCGTCAGACTCGGAATCAGACTCAGACTCCACATCCAACGAACTCTCCTCCTCCGTCGGCTTCTCCCTAAACGCACGCCTCCTCCACGCCGCCGCCCTCCGCGAGTCCTCGGGCGCCCTAAACATACCCATGGACCCAGAATGGGAGCAATACCTCAAAGAAGCGTCTGAGCGCGGCGAACTCAACATCGACGCGACGAGAGAGGCGCTGCGGACGATGGCAGGCCAGATCGCGCAGTTGCATCAGAGCACCGTTGAGGCAGAGGGCAGCGAGGCGGTGCCGCAGACGTTCCAGCCGAATGCGGCTCCGGCTTAGGAGTCCGTAGACGCACGGATGCAGATGGAGATGGAAATGGATGCGCAGGCCGAGGCGGAGATGGAAATACAATGGATGATCGACGAGGGCGTCGAAGCAGCGGTTATTGTTATGTTTCCCGATGTGTTTCTCACACCACCACGGAGGGCATGATTACGAAGGACACGACGACGGGAACGATCAGGACGAAGACGCAGTCAGTGGTGATAGGATACCCATCTTTAAGGATGGTGCTTGTTGTTGGCTTTGGCCTTTTGCCTGTCCTGCACTGCATGGCGTTTTCTGCTTCTCTTCCATACAAGGCAGGCGTTTGATGGGCATTTCGCGAGATACCCCAGATTTCCTGCTGGGCTTTTCTTGTTGCGTTGGGATAATGGATGGTTCTTGTTATCATTTTATAGATTGGTGAGGAGGCTTTGGATGGGCAATGAGGCATGGAGGAAGGCATGCACGGCATATAGTCATAATCCATCATGTTCAGATTTTCAAGATGGGTGTTTGTGGTGTTCTTGCTTCTCATTATGTGCTTGATGTTTGCACTTGTGAGGACTGATGGTTGCTCCGATTCCTATATGGAGCTATGGAGGGGTTGCTGGTGCTCCTGGCTTTTCCATCAAGTCTCCTTTGTCGGAGTTTCGAATGTAGCTAGACATGACCCAAGGCTGCATCCTGCGTGAAGCCTTGCAATCCTCCGCGGGTATCAACGGCCATGACCACATTGCTTTCCCATGCCAGACGGCCTTGAGGAAGTGCGAACCACGGTTAGGAAGACGTGACGTGTTGCAGTATTCTGAGATACTACACACACCGTCGCCTTAACGCCTTCCAGAGCTCCCGAAGCCGAATCCGCCAGGGCCCCTCTTAGTACCTCTTGTGATCCTACCGCTACTATCCTCATCGATCTCCATGGCGTCGTCACCGCCCATACCCATCAGATTCCGCTTGCCGGTGTTCTTCTCGTCACCGACCGTCATGACTGCCTCAAACGCCCTCTCTTTCTTCCGGCGCATCTTCTCTCGATCCAAGGCCTCTTTCTTGACCTTTGCGACTTGCGCCTCCAGATCTGCTAGAGCGGAGTCGCACCGTTGTGACCATGACTGTAGGGTGTTTTGGAGGGCGGGCAGGGATCCTGGCGCGAGGTCGCGGAGTGGTGAGATGGATGTTACGGAGACGAGGGAATGTGCGGGGTCGAGCGTCGCAGTGATGAGGCCGGAGTAGATGGCAGTGGTGATGAGCTCCTCGAGAGCGCGGGTAGTGGGCAGCTCGAGCGCTGTCATGAGATGTTTGTAGGTGAGGGTGGCGTGTGAGTGTGAGAGGGGCAGTAACGAGAGCAGTAAAAGCTTCTGGTGTTGCTGTGCGGAGAGTTTGGGGAGATTTGCTTGAGCTTCGCGCTGTCAGTATACAACTTGATGGCTATGGTATGATCAACGCACCCTTGTAGTCTTCCCAGGTTCCCCAGGCGAAGATCTCGAGCAGGGTAAGATACGACGCATGCTCCTCTGAATTCCGTAGGTTCTGGATGTTTGGCGTCTGTAGGAGTTCGGCGAATACGTATGTATTGGGCGCACTGGTGGCTTGTACGATCAAGTCCGATGCTGCTCGTGGTAATGTCGCGGACTTGCTGAGGGCCAGGAAGGGCTCGAGAGCGTTGAGGGCCTTGGTTTGCTCCATGTTGTGTTAACGTAGATGTCACAGCTTCTGGAGTGGTAAATGTGTGGTTTCAATGTAGCTGTCTATCGATAGTGGAAGGCGAGCAGGCAGCTGCATGTGAGGTACGTCTTGGCAATCGCGGTCGGTCGCGACTGCCCCGCGACTCAACCCCACCCGCCTCTACGCTCGGACTTCCATTCATTCAACGAGTTCGATTCCGTAAGGGGAGTTGAATGGGCACCTTTTCTTTTTGCCCTTCGCGTTCAAGCGTGGAATAATGTGCCAGGAATTACCTTTCAGTCAGCGACATAGGCCTTGACTCGTACCCGACACCGCCTGCTCCGCAAACACGAGATCATAGGGTGGCCACACATTATCAATCATAGCGCGTGAACTCAGCAGTTCGTAAGACGAAGGACACCAAGTCCGGTCCACGTCGTGTTCGGTGACTGACACGGCGCACCCTAAATCCAGGCAAACTGCCATGACACTGGTAATTTGTTTCGTTCGGTCAAAGCGGTAACAGGCCCTGAGGCTCCGCGTGTCTCATCTAAGGATCAGGAAGGGTTTTATGTTCCTTCCTGTTTCACATGCCAAGAAGGAAACACTATCGTCTAGTGTCCGTGCCGCGTCAAAGACACGACCAACTCCTAGATATCACAATTATTCTTAATCCTTCTTCTGTCATCCTACGGACTTGGAGTGTGCCCTGCATCTCACAGCGCTTGCACTCTGACAGCTTGACGATCAGCTTGTGGCGGCACCCTAGCAATAACGGCCTATCATCCACCTGCGGAGCCGGTCTAGCCTTCTTTCGACGTGCCGCGGCGCTGGGCTTGAATCAGCACTGGGTCAGATTGTGGCTGCTGCACTCCGTTCATCAATCGCCATATTAATAACTTCGCCATCTGGCACTACCGGAAGCTGGCCTTCCTTTTTACTCCGGAGTCCGCTATCCTCTCGCGTTTACCTCACGTTGTCGCCATAACGTCGCGCGATCGCTTTTCGACTTCGCCCCAATCCTCCCGCTTCGTACGAGCCGCTCTCGCCCCATTCGACCGTTGGATGCTGCATCTGGCTCAGCATCAGCAGTCTAGTTCGCGATCCGTCTGAAGTCAACGGCACCGAAAAGCGCTTCTAGCCATCATGGCTCCCACTCCGGCGACAGCGCACATGGCGACAACGACGCTCAAAGTCGAGGGCATGACATGCGGCGCGTGTACCTCCGCGATTGAATCGGGTTTCCAGGGCGTGAAGGGAGTAGGAAATGTGTCAATAAGTTTGGTGATGGAGCGGGCTGTCATCCAGCATGACCCCGAGGTCATCACCGCGGAAGAGGTTAGGGAGATTATCGACGACAGGGGGTTTGACGCAGAAGTGCTCTCGTCGGATTTACCAATGTCGCACAGCGCAGATGACCACTTTCTGAGCGATTCTGAAGATGAAGAGGAGGAGGCGATCGGAAACACCTCGACCACAACACTCTCTGTTGGCGGAATGACATGCGGAGCGTGTACATCTGCCGTAGAAGGCGCTTTCAAGGACGTGGCTGGAATCAAGTCCTTCAGCATATCACTCCTCTCTGAGCGCGCAGTCATCGAACACGACCCGACGATCATATCTCCGGAAAAGCTCGCTGAAACCATAGAAGACGTTGGCTTCGACGCGGAGGTACTGGATACCGTGGCCGCGACACCAGCGGCAAAGAAGAGCAGGAGCCGAAAGCAGCAGAAGACAATGACCACGACAGTCGCTGTTGAGGGCATGACCTGTGGCGCATGCACATCAGCCATAGAAAGCGGATTCAAGGACGTTGAGGGTGTATATCAGTTCAACATCAGCTTACTCGCCAACCGTGCCGTAATCGTGCATGACCCTTCCAAGCTCACCGAAGAGCAGATAGCAGAGATCATCGAGGACCGCGGATTTGACGCTCAGGTTCTGTCCTCCGTCGATGGTAGCATACAGCAGTCGTCAACAAGCAACATCCCCGTACAGCTCAAGATCTATGGACTGCCCAACGCTAGCGCTGCTCAAGAGCTTGAAGGACTACTACGGAAAAGATCCGGCATCACCTCAGCAACTGTCAACTTCAAGTCGTCAAGAGCCACCATTCAGCGAGAGCCTCAAATCGTTGGCCTTCGAGCGATCGTCGAGGCCGTGGAGGCAGCTGGATACAACGCATTAGTCGCAGACTCCGAAGACAACGATGCCCAACTGGAGTCCCTCGCAAAGACTAAAGAAATCCAGGAGTGGAGAAGATCTGTCATCTTCTCGGCTTGGTTCGCACTTCCTGTGTTTTTGATAAGCATGTTCATTCCCATGTTCCTGCCATTCCTCAACTTTGGCGGTATTCGTCTGATACCTGGCCTCTATCTCGGCGACGTCATCTGCTTGGTCCTTACTATACCTGTCCAATTTGGTATCGGAAAACGTTTCTACATCTCTGCATACAAGTCTCTGAGCCACGGCTCTCCCACCATGGATGTTCTGGTAGTACTGGGTACCTCAGCCGCCTTCTTTTTCAGCGTCTTCTCCATGTTGGTCTCACTCTTGGTCTCCCCACACACCAAGCCGACCACACTGTTCGAAACCAGCACCATGCTGTTCACTTTCATCAGCTTAGGTCGCTATCTTGAGAACCGTGCGAAGGGTCAAACGTCCAAGGCCCTTTCCAGCCTCATGTCGCTAGCTCCGTCCATGACCACCATTTATGCGGATCCCATCGCTGCGGCTAAAGCTGCTGAAGGTTGGGATGTTGCTGAAGAGAAGTCGGAACGCACCTCCACTGATGGCAATGCTGCTGAAGAAAGGGTCATCCCCACCGAGCTCATCGAGGTTGGCGACGTCGTTATTCTTCGTCCGGGTGACAAGCTTCCAGCTGATGGTACAGTCACACGTGGAGAGTCGTATCTCAACGAGAGTATGGTCACTGGTGAAGCTATGCCAATACTCAAGAAGAAAGGCGCATTGGTCATGGCTGGTACTGTCAATGGAAACGGACGTCTGGAGTTCATGGTCACCCGAGCCGGCCGCGACACCCAGCTCAGTCAAATCGTCCGCCTCGTCCAGGAAGCCCAAACGAGTCGTGCTCCCATTCAACGCCTTGCCGACATTGCTGCTGGTTATTTTGTTCCAATCATCATCACTCTCGGCCTCGCAACCTTTGTCGGATGGATGGTTCTCAGCCACGTCCTACCCTACCCACCCAAAGTATTCCTTGATCACGCTAGTGGCGGAAAGTTCATGGTCTGCTTCAAGCTCTGCATCGCTGTCATTGTCTTTGCTTGCCCATGCGCGCTCGGTCTTGCAACACCCACCGCTGTCATGGTCGGTACTGGTGTTGGAGCTGAGAATGGCATTCTCGTCAAAGGTGGTGCCGCTCTTGAGACTGCTACAAAGATCAACCATGTTGTCTTCGACAAGACTGGCACGCTCACTGTTGGCAAGATGAGTGTATCTCAGGCGGACATCCAGGGAGGCTGGGCAAGCCCTGATAAGAAGAATCTTTGGTGGACTCTCATTGGACTTGCGGAAATGGGCTCAGAGCATCCTATTGCTAAGGCTATCGTTCTTTCCGCCAAGGAACATCTCCGCCTCGGACCCGATGGTAGCCTAGATGGCTCAGTCGGAGACTTTGAAGCTGTCACTGGTAAGGGTATCATCGCAACGGTCGAAGCAGCCCTCTCTCCCGAGCGTACTCGCTACAAGGTCCTCATCGGTAACACGGCTTTCCTCACTTCCGAAGGTGTCAACGTCCCCGACTTCGTAGAAGAGCCGCTCACACCTGCTGCAAACTCCAGACCTCGAGGTGGACCCCAGAACCGATCCGCTGGTATCACCACGATTCACACCGCCATCGGCAACACCTACACCGGTACATTGAGCATGTCCGACACCATCAAGCCTTCAGCCCGCGCTGCGGTTCTTGCCCTTTCTCGTCTGGGCATAACATCTTCGATTGTTACCGGTGATACTTCTGCGTCTGCCCTTGTCGTTGCAGCAGCAGTCGGTATCGATCCCGCAGATGTTCACGCTTCGTCTACCCCCGCCGACAAGAAAGCTATCATCGAAGACCTGCAGTCGCGTGGCCAAGTCATCGGTATGGTCGGTGACGGCATCAACGACTCCCCGGCGCTCGCCTCGGCCGATATTGGTATTGCTCTCTCTACCGGTACAGACGTCGCCATGGAGGCTGCCTCTATCGTCCTCATGACCAACACTGATCTCCTCTCCATCCCGGCCTCACTCGTTCTCAGTCGCGCCATCTTCTTCCGCATCAAGCTGAACCTGGCATGGGCGTGCATGTACAACTTCATTGGTCTTCCTTTCGCAATGGGTTTCTTCCTTCCATGGGGCCTCTCATTACATCCCATGGCTGCTGGTGCCGCAATGGCATGCTCATCCGTCAGCGTTGTTGCGAGCTCTCTGCATCTCAAGTTCTGGCACAGACCTAGCTGGATGAAGGTCAGTGTTCTCGATCCTGGTGCGCCGATCGATGAGCAGGAAGCGGAGATGGAGAAGATGGGCCACAAGGGCGTCTTTTCCACTCTCAAGGATTGGGTCAGTGATGCGTGGGCCGCGAGGAGGCGGAACAAGGAGGAGACAAGTTATATGCCTCTGAGGGATATGGAGCAGCAGTAATCTCGTCCATGAGTATTTGAGCAGATGTTATTAGTATTGGCGGAGCGCTTAGGATACCACCTTTTCTTGGTTCTTTTCCTTGTCTGTATGTCGTTGCATTTCCGTTTTTCCCGATTGGGAGTCCCTGTATATAGCTCTTGACTCCCGATACTGTTGTTCAAGCCTCGTGTGAATCCAATCCGATCTACGCTACAACAACCTTTATGTCATGTGAAGATCAAATGTGTTAACCCAAAAACATTACTCGTCAAACTAGCAGACATATAGAAAATCGTGATGCGATAGCCCAAGTATTTACCTGAAGCAGCCAAACGTCGGCAGCTTGCCGTGCGCGTGACGAAGTCGCGAAAGCGCGGCGGGCCAGGGTCCACCAATTG